TAAGCAGGAAATTCCACTAAGAATCCATTTGCATCCTTGTGCTTTTATATACCTCTTGAGAAATTCTTTGCAATTTTAAGATCTGAAAAGACTTGTCAGCAGACCAAAACCTTGGGAAGCTTAAGTAGGCTTAATACTCAAGGCAAAGTTAGAAACCTGCTCTGTCTTCGTAAGGGTGTGTTGCTCCAGAACTGAACAGTAGTAACACTTCACTGCTCAGTGACATCAGATAGGAAGAAAGGATGATTCAGTTTGAAATTGCCCTAAAACTAGGATAGTGTAAAACTAAAACAATGAAATAAATGAGGGTGATTTTTAAAGCGAGGGGTGGTCACGTACTTGCTAAGCCAAGCCAGAGCTCCAGCAGGTGCTTGTCTGCTGTGGAGTTCTTTGTGAAATTTAGGTCAGGGTTGCCATTAAACAGGCTTTGCTTGTAACTTGCAGACATATTGCAAGATTAAGCAATGCCCTAAAACTAGTTTCTTATCCTTGGGGAAATAAATTCAGAGAGCCTGAGAGCCTCTGTCTGAACTTGGTATTTTTGGAGAAGTCTAGTAAGTATAGCTGCCCTTTACCTGACAGTTCTGCATGCTTCTAGCATCTTGAGGATCACCAAACAGTTTCTGCAGCACCGTATGTTCCCCTGTATTGTGGTACTATAGTTCTGTACTAGTGTTATGTTAATCACACCATTTAAATTGTCCACAACGAGGTTAGTACTGTGTACCCTGAAGGGTACTTTGTACCCTAATCCATAGCTGAGATGATAAATGTTTCGGGAATTTGTGAATATACAGTAGAGATTATGTTCTCAGCTAACCTTATTCGTTGTCATTGAGACTAGCATCCCTTTATGAGCATTTTAAATTCATGCCTTGCTGCTTTCCATACAGATAAAGACAGACATGGTCCTTGTGATGTGTAGGAAGAAGAAGGAGGAAAAATGGGATTGCCTCACTCAAGTGGAAAAAGAAAGCAAAGAGAAAGAGTAAGTCTTTTCAACTGTTTGTCTTGTTCTCTGTTTATTGTTCTCCCAATTGCTGTAAGACTGCCAGGGGAGCAGCTTGGTACAGTGCTGACTGCACAGGCAAACGGTGAGAATTGCTGTTCTGAGGGATGAGCCCCTAAGGTGTCTTGAGAATCACTGGGTTGGGATTTTTTTGGTACTGGTAGGACTGGCAGTGGAGGAGATACACTTGGAGTAGCTGTTTGTCGCTTTTCTACTGTTTATTGCCAGTGATGAAGACTGCATCGTAGGAAATACGATAGAAAAGACCTGCAGTGAGAGTGCTGAAGATAATCAACCACATAAAGGTTCATTTGCATTTTGATGGCCGCATTCATTGCAAAAACTGCTCTAGTGAGGTTGACTTTTTTTAGGTTAAGTGTATATTATATAGAAATACATACATATTCCCTACAGCTGTGCTGGTCACCTGTGTGTGAAGTGCCTGCACAAAAAAGCCAAAACAACCAGCAACCTCTTAGCAAAATAGGTCTCTGCTTACCTAGATAATTATATGAAGTCTCAAGCTGCTTTGATTCACTTCAAGTGCTTGGGAGCAATCCTCCAAGCAGCTCAGGCACTGGATGTATAAGGGTGGTAAATTACAGCAGGAAACACCTGCAGGTGAGGTGTCTTTGACATACATTGTATGATAATTGTCTGTTTTTCTTTACAAGGCACACACATTCTTATCAAGAAGTGAGTCCAGAGGGTTGGAGCACCTCTCCTAAGAGGACAGGCTGAGAGAGTTGGGCTTGTTCAGCCTGGAAAAGAGAAGGCTCTGGGGAGACCTTGTAGCTCCTTCCAGTGCCTGAAGGGGGGAGCTGCAAGAAGGCTGGGGAGGGACTTTTTACAAGGGCCTGTAGTGATGGGATGAGAGGTGATGGGTGGAAGCTGGAAGAG